TATATATATGCATATACATATACACACACACTTGTACATATTTCCATGTAATCCAGTATTTTCTACAATAGCACTCCTGCTTATCGACTCGTCTGAGATCTCAAGATAAATAATATGTTTTCAATTTCAGCATGATAATGATGACTTTTTTACCACTGTGTTTTCACGAAAACTATGCAGTTTTGTTTGTTTGTTTGCTTGACTTCCAGAGGAGTTCCTCGATGAAACGAATGTGCACATAATTTCTTACTATACATCGTCTGAAGTGCCTTGATATTTATAACTTCTCTCTGATGTATCTATTGTTGATTAGTGATGCTTTGTAATGTGTTCGCACTGGCGTTTCTTTGTAGCACCCTGTGCCTTGAAACTGACATGACATTTTCAAGACTTCTTCAATGTTTAACCCTATGCGTTCGTCCTGGAGTCATTTTGTACACCCGGGGTTGTATTCTTCATATTTTAGAAAAACTTTCAGTGTTTCTCAAAAAATCACTTTGAGAGACAACTATGCAAAGCGTACGGATCGGATTAACGAGTAAATTTCCTTATTGGAAAGTGGAGGCTCAGAGTTTGCCACGTCGTATGGATACGATAGTAAAACACGATGTACGGATAGGGTTAAACATACGTTTTGGAAACTTGTTTTATGACGTCACACGTGCCTTTTTTACCTCGACAATGAAGATGGCGTAATCTTTTTTTGTTGTGTGTTGTCCGTTTCTTTATTCGTGTATTCTTCTGAATGTCAGTACGGTTCTATTGGAGGAAATGATGTTGCGAAAGAATATTCCATAAAGTAATCTTTGTGTGTGATGTGGCACTCGCGAGGGATAATTTTGATTCTGATAGGAGAAAAGTTGAGCTATTTTGATCCCACTGGCGCTATTATGAATCGGAGTTATGCCCACACACATATTCTTTCAAAGATCTAACCATTATCACGATCCCCAATCTCCTCTAAAAAAAAGGACCCACTTACAGGGCAATAACTCAATCATACATGCACCAATGTCTACGAATTTTCGGACTAACAAAATTCAACCATGAAGACATCAATTCTGCAAATATGAAGAAAATCAATCAAAGTTTTCGAGAAATATTAAGTTAAAAAAAGCAAAATTGGATAAAACGCATAAGTATTTCTTTCAATTCTATTCCCTTTATCTGAAGCATAAAAAGGCAGACAACGGCAGGATTAATACATAATAATATGCATATTTATGTTATGCTCCATAAATGATGTTTCAGAATGTGCCTTACTTTATTTTACTTTTCCGATCCAGTGGTCATTTGAGTTCTAGCCCTTCGGCCTGTCGATGTGGCAAAGAATTCAGAATGTGCCTTAACATCGACTTTGGTCTGCGGCTGATGGGACTAAAGTATATGCCACTTCCTCTTTAAAAAGTTAAGAACACAAAAACCTTTCAGCATCTTTCAGGAGACTGAATCATCAAGTCAAATTTTGGTCCAGTGTAGTTACTCTGTCTGTCTGTCTGTCTGTCTGTCTGTCTGTCTGTCTGTCTGTCTGTCTGTCT